TGGGTCCTGTGGGACCAATGCTCCTTCCCTCCTTTGGAAAGGGAGGGGTGGTCAATGGTCTAACCATTAAGGCAAGCAAAAAAAGAGTACGCCCCCCCCCCCCGCGAGCTTGCCCCGCGGTGATGCTCGTCCTCTGATTCCTGTATCCGTTGCTGCTGCTGCTGCTACTGCTGCTGCTGCTGCGTCCAGAAAAAGAAGATCCATCCAGAGCTGTCGGCGATAACTTTCCTCGCTGGTGTCAAGTTTCACGGGTTCGACAACGCTAAGCGAAGTGAGGGTTACTATAAATTGTTGTGGTTCTCCGTGTTGTAGTTCTCATTTTTTTTTTTATATATACCATGCACCCTCCCGGAAAACGAACCACGAAAAAAAACGAAAAAGAAAAACAGGAACGTAAGGTGTGAGAGATGAATCACGCGTAGTGCTCGTTCTAACGTGCCATCAGGGAGGAGATTCCGTGAATGAGGTTGAAAGCTTTTTCTTGGGTCTTTTTTTTTTTTTTTTGCCATTGCTACTCTCTTTCGTTGAGATTTGTTAGGTCATCAACCCCTCTTGAGCGGAGAAGTGTGGTGCCTATTTATTTGTTGTTCACCTTTTCCTGCCTGTTGTTTCTCCTATGCGTACCCATCTTCTGTTTCCCACTCCCCACCCCCGCCTGCACCTGGACATATTCGTTGTTTCTCACAACGACTCTGGTCACCATCGTAACCGCAGACACACTTTTCAGTGCATACATATACTGTAGCATGTGCGCAAATGCGCTTTGTTGTTTGAGTGATTGATGCAAGGAACCACCGACACACACGACGACCCCACCAAGCGTACCTAGCAAGAACGAACGTTATTTTTTCCCACCGACGCTTTTTTTTGTTTTGTGTGTTTTGCAAATGTTGGCTTCAAGGTCTTGTGAACGAGATGTCTGCGTTCGGAGAGCCGAAGACGGAAAAGCTGCTCAAGAAGAGCCCCGAGGTAAGCTTGCATGCGTTCATGTATTCATCATATCCATGCGGATAGCGCAGGCTAGCCTACTCTGTAGGTATACTACCGACTGGTATACCATATGCACTGTTTACGGTAGTTGTGCGAGCGAGAGATCGCACCCCGGCTCAGAGACCGACTTCAGTAACAGCTGGTTCGATTGTTCGACAACTAAGATGAAAGGGGGCGATGGCAAGGTCTCGACAAGGTGTATCTTTGCAATCCCACTTCTTTTGGTCGGCGGTTCCCTGTCCGTTGTGGGGCAATCGATTGGGCTGTGAAAGAACGTCTAGGGGGGGATGCGATTACCCCGCACAATTGCGGTAAGGCAATGCCTTGTAGATGTTTGAGGGATGGGGCAGGCTCTGGGATGGATTGTTCTCGGTTCGTGTTTCCGGTATCCTCAATAGCTTATGACTCGAGTGTGTCGTAGGTGTGTTCGGAAGGAGGGTTGGTTCATGATCACCATTGTCGAAGTCGCGTGCGTTGTATGCACAAATAGTAGCACGTGTCATCGGTGGGGATTGGCGATCCCCTTGAGATACATACATAAGACAGCTATGTTTATCTCTATTCGATGTCAACGTCAATGTTGACTCTCTTTTGGCCCTCTGACGACTTGACGACACACGAATGGCGGCAGGATTGGGTGGTGTACAACGCGCGGAACATGTCGCGCATCTACCCCGCGGGGTCGAGAGTGGACTCCTCCAATTACGACCCCGTGCCTAGCTGGAACGTCGGCAGCCAGGTGCGGTATTTGTTGAAGGTCGCGTGTGTCTGTTCTTGTTTTTGTGGTATCAATACTTGTAGTTCCATTTATTCTGGACGTGGAGTTTTTGCCACTTTACAGTGCGGCATGTTTGAAACAAATAATGAAAAGGGATGGAGCTGCCGGGACGGTCGCCGCACAGGATTTTTTTTTTTTTTTTTGTCCACCTGAGAATTTTCGAGTTTTCCTCCTGCAGTGTCACGGACGTTGTCTCGTTGTCCTCGTAAACTCAGTTAAGCTCTTCACGCCTTTGTTCCTGACAAAAAGGAAATAGCACATCTTCTCCGGTGTTTTTTGTTGTTGTTTTCATAGATTGATATGGCCATTTTGTATGATGGGGACGTGGTCCAGCAGCCAGAAAAGAAGATCGACTGCTCTTTCAACTCCACGGATCAGGTACAACAATCACTCCTCTCAATTGCCTTGCGTTTTTGCCACGAATTGGTCTCGGCTGCACCCCCCCCATCGAGGGCCCGTGGTTAATGGTCTTAGCAACAAGGCTTGCAAAACATGAGTACGCTCCATCCCTGTCTATATTAGCAACTCTTCCATGCAAAACATGATCACGCTCCATCCCTGTCTAGCAACTATTCCATTCTAAACATGATCACGCGCCACCCTTGTCTAGCAACTATTCCATTCTAAACATGAGTACGCTCCCCCCCCCCCCCCCCCCCCGGCGAGGGAATGC